ACAGTTCTCCAAGTGCAGCCAGGATGGGGAGGTGGATGTAGAGCCTTATTACTTTTTTTGAAGAGAGTAAAACCAAATGAGAAATAAAAAAACAGATTCAGTCAAATCAAAAGGATGGACATAATACATGATATAAAAGCAAAATACAAGGTGATCAACAATGGTTACCATAATGCTTCTTGTTATCTTAAAAAGAATTGCCTATATCATCAGTTATAATAAAATTGAACAAAACAGTAAAGAACAAAACCAATAAGACCAAAACATTGAAGACATTACAGGACTTCAAAAGAAGATAATAGCCAACCAGAATGGACATCATAATGAATCTTATTGTCCTCACAGTTGTTCCCTATTCTTTCGAACTTGGTACTATCAAGCAAAACAGAATAGAGGAAAATCAGTTAAAACAGGATGGTGAGAGCAATACAGGGTTTCAAATCAAGTTAACAGGAAATCAAAGTGGATTACTATAATATATCCTGCTATTTTTATTTATTTTTCCCTTAATTAAAAAGAAAAAAATGAAAAAGTAAATAATAGAAAAAGGAAACTGAGAAGAGGGCATATCAACAAAACAGCGCAGGTCAAAGCATAACCATTTAAGCAAAATAGTGTTTCATCACAAGATATCCTGACATAAAAGTAATTACCATTGTGTCTCTTTCCTTGAAATCTTTGGGTATAACTTCGTGTACTGTAGCATCAAATATAGCAAGACAATGTAAAACCATTCAAGAGAATGACAGTATTACTGGGTATTTAGAATCAACTAACAGAAAATGAACAATGGTTTCCGTATAATCTCCTTGTCTACAAAAGTTTTTGTTTATATTATCACATGTAATAAAATCCAATAAGATACAACATGTTAAGACCAATGGAGACAAAGGACAAAAGCTTGATGGGACTTCAAAACAAGATGATATTAAATCAGCACTAGCTATTATGATGTCTTGTTTTCTCCAAAATAGCTGTTCCTACCATCCAAACTTCTCTGCCTCATTTCCGTTGAGCTCTTTTTCTGTCATTAGTTGTCAGTTTGTCTTCTTCATTTCACTTTCTGCTCCATTCATTGTGGCCTCTCTGCCACTGTTTCTGGAATCTTGGTATTTTTCTTTTTTAGAATATCCTGCAGTGTTCTCTGTAGAGTTGAATTGGTGGTTGCCATTTCCCCTAGTTCCTCTTTATCCTGGAAGCACCTTGTTTTTCCATCAATTTCTAGGGACAGTTGCGCAGGATATATCAATCTTGGCTGGAGGTTACTGTCTTTTAAAGCTTGGATTATTTCCCCCCACACTCTTTGTGATTTGATGGTTTGTGCTGAGAAGTCTGCTGTAATTCTAATGGGTGTTCCCTTGTAAGTGATCTGTTTCTTGTCTCTGATGGCTTTTAATATTCTGTTCTAATATTGGATTTCTGGCATTTTAATTATTATATGCCTGGATGTAGCTTTGTTTGGGTTGTAGGTGGCTGGGGTCCTGTATACCTCATACATCTGAGTATCTTTACCTTTTGCTAAATTAGGGAAATTCTCCTGGATTATTTCTGTGAATAGCCTTTGTAGTTCATTTGTTTGTGTCCCTACTTCTTCTTTTATGTTCTTAATTCTTAAGTTATAGACCCTCTTATCATCTTCTAGTCTTCGTATTATTGATGTTTATTTCTTTGTTATTTTTAAGTTTTTCATTTCATGCTCCCATATTACAAATCTGCCCTCCAGTTCAGATAATCTGTCCTTAGTTTCTTTCAAGCTGTTATGCTAGTTTTTGATAGACTTTTTTAGTTTCCTGGTATTCTCTTTGAACCTGCTTCACATATTCTATGCTTTCTCTATTTTCTCCATTAAACAATTCTCCCCTCTTTTTCTGTTCTTCCATTCCACCATCTGTTTTTTCTTGGGTGGTGCTTAGCATTTCTCTAACTATTCTGCTTATGTCTAGCTTCAGATCATTAATAACTTCATTCCTGAACTTGTCTATGAGGCTCTCGAGATAGCGCTTTATGTCTATTGGTGCTGTGTCTGCTGTTGCCTCTTTCTCAGGATTGGGGGCCGAGGACCCTTTTTTGTTGCTGCCTCTTTCCATATTCTTTGTTCCTTATATATGCAAGCGTATATAGGAGGCCCAGCTTTCTTCCCTGTCAGTCACAGTCTGAATTGCGCCGGCTAGGTGTTCCCGCCCACTGCAGCACACCAGGAAGTTGCAGACCAGGCAGCCTATGCGGGGCCCACCCCTCCAGGTCACCTTCAGGAGCTGGGACCTGGGCTGTGCTAGCTTACTGGGTGTCAGCCAGCAGCATCACGTGGGCTAGGCACTGCTCACCAATCCCGCTTGAGAGGGGGATTGGTGACTGAAGTCACTGAAGCTCCCTGTTCCCGCAAGTCTGCCCGGTCCCAGAATGTCCTCTGTTGGAATCTCCTAGACCGTGGAAGAGTCCCAGTTTTCCCTCACTCACTGGAGGTGGATGCACGCCTCCCCGCCCATCCCACTCTCAACTCCGTTCACGGATTCCTGTTCTCAGAGCTTCCGCACGTCTCTCTCCCTGCCGAACTGATGGAGACGCAGCAGCGGTGGCGGGAAACCCAAATCGCGGCTTCCAATGGCGCGGGCTCTAGCTTCCACGCTGAGGCTTTATCTGTTCCTGTTATAGCACCAGGATTGCATTCCCAGTTGGTTTCTCTCAGCCTAGTTTGTTCTTGGGTCACCGGGGCATATCTCCTCTTGCTTATGATTCCTTACTCAGCACCATTCCTGAATTCTAAGCTGGGTGTTTCAGAGAGCCTCCGTAGCTGCTGCTATCTGTCCGCCATGTTCTCCCAGAAGTCCCTTCAGCTCTTCTTGACCACAAGAATCAAGTGTGTTGTGAGGGCAGGGGGCCCATGAGATTTCCCAGGACAAGATCTCATCCTAAGAGGAAATATGCTAAAACTTGAGGAAGAAATCTTCCAAAACTGCCTCACGGGTGACCCAATGTACAGTCTCTGGCTCCTCCCCACCCCGTGGTGCCGTGAGAGCCATTCCCGTTCTTGTGTGAGCAGGTCAGTCTGATCTCGGTCAGCTGTGTCCCCTTAAGCTCTTCTCCTTCTCAAGATGAAGCCACTTCCCTTGCTCTTCCTGGATTAAAAATTTGCCTGAGAGTTCATGCTGCTGCATCAGTTTTAATTTTCACCATCAGTGATGCCAGTGCCCTTGCGTGTCCCAAGCATCTCACATCAGTACACATCAGAACTAGGCAAGCTGCTTCCAGCTGGCTCTCAGTTACTACATGAGTCTGTATGCTGTACCACTGTCCTACTGTCTCTTTATGTAAAATTTCAATTCCTTTTGAAAATTTAAGTTTATCCTAGCTGAACTTAAAAAGCTGCTTTAACACTTTCACAGAATTCTTTGTTTTATTTACTCCTCACACTGCACTTTTTTTTTAAGCTTTGAGAGTGAACCATTGAAACTAGACCTTTGCATAACCTGGGCAGACACTCTACCACTGAGCTACATCCTTATTCCTCTTGAGGAATTCTTTATTCTGTGGAGTTTCTTAGGATCACTGTGTTTTCCTTGTAGTCTCATTTGAGTTTTCTTTTAAACTCCAGATTTGCACATTTATTGAACATGCTCTCCAAAAACTTCATGACCAGTTGATAGCAGCAGACAGCACGGAGCTGTGGCTGAGAAGTCTGGATACACCTACTGAGTTTCCTCATGGTAGTTGATGTGATCAGAAGTAAGAACAACAATAAAACAGAGGTGGTTTTAGAGGTCTATGAATTCAGAGAAAAATGTAAAGGAACTGTTTTGGTTCTCTCATTGCTGGGACAAAATACTCAACACTCCAAATGAAGGAAAGAAAGGTTTATTTAGCTCACTATTTGTGGATGTTTTAGTAAGTAGTCAACTGGCTCCAAGACAGGGTGGCATGGCATAGGGGTAACACTTCAACTCAGCAGCCAGCAAAAGCAGCCAGAGCAAAAGAGGCGAAGAGCAAGTCTTTTTCCCTTATATTGATGAACACCCCCCCCCACTCAGGGCAGATGTAGTACAAAATCTCTGTGCTTTCCTCTGGCGCAGGATGAGGATATTAAAAAATAAGGGTCCTGACTCCCTGCTGAGTCTCTTAGTTAAACTTCTAAACTTCTCAAATTGACATAATTATATCAACCATATCTCAAATTGACACAATGCTATCAACCATAACAGGAACTCACACCCATGAGAATTAAAACAAGAACATTTAAAAATATTTCATGTACAGAACTGAAGTAAATGCTATGCAGGAATGTCACATAAGGGAAATAAGTTTATGGAAAATTTCAACAGGACATACAGCTCCACACAGGTGCTAATGAAAAATAAAGCTGTCCTGGGTAGAGATGTGGCTCAGGGGCTGAATACATGCTTTCCTTGTGGGTAGCCCTGGGTCCATTACTCACTACCAAAGGGAGGAGAACAAAGGAAAAGCAGAAACTGCCTCTTCAAAGAATCACAGTAATTGTGCCAATTTTTAAGTTATAGACCCTCTTATCATCTTCAAGCCTTTGTATTATTGCTGTTTGTTTTCTTGTTATTTTTGAGAAGTTTTTCATTTCATGCTCCCACTTTACAAATCTGTCCTCCAGTTCAGATAATCTATCCTTAGTTTCTTTCAAGCTGTTATGCCATCTTTCAATAGAGTTTTTAGTTTCCTGGTAATCTCTTTGAACCTGCTTCACGTATTCTATGTTTTCTCTATTTTCTCCATCAAAGAATTCTTCCCTCCATATGGGCCCTAGCCTATTCTTCATGACTTCATATTTTCTAAACACTCCAGGGGTTACAGAGTGATAAATGAAGGGAAGCTTTATCCTGAGGTCACCACTTACATTGGCACATGGCAATAAGGTTAGCCTGTCCTTCATAGGCTCTTGGCCTGGCATTTTCTTTTCTTCCTGGGTAATGTATGTTCTCCCAAGCATTTTCTTTCAGAAAAGGCCAGCTTCATCACAGTTGAAAACTTAATGAGAGCAAAAGCAATTTCTCTGTGTCATCATTTTGAAATCATGTATGTTATTTTCAGCAACCCTTTCACCAGCACTGGCTGCTGCATCCTAATTCTTGCTTTAACATTACGAAACTTCTCTTACTGGCACAAAATGTTTTACCATTATCACTCACTGATGGACTGTCCTTTACAACATCTGCATTCATAGCTCAGCTTTTTCAAATTATAGTCTCAGACAGGCTATAACCTGCCATCATCTCTTTTTATCACACTTATCATAGTCTTTCTACCTAATCTAACACTTTGATCATGACTCAGTAATTTGAGTAACACCTTTAGCAACACTAGCTTCCTTATACAAGTATTTTCTCTAAGATTGTTGAGGGTGGATTTTTGACTCGCTGTACATATTGGTGAGACTGGTCACGTCAATGTCACTCTTCTATTTCTCCACAATTTCTTTTTTCAATTGTGATTGTTTTCTTTATCTTCCCTTCCTCCCGTAAATTCTTTTCTAGATTTGGGGGGGGCATTTTGATAGAGGTAATTATAGCAATTATACAAAGCACTGATCAAAATTATATCCACAAACACACACGTCTGGGTTCAGATTGACACATACACTTTTCTGGCATCAGGAGTTTCTGCTTACAACCACACATGTGGCTGACATTTAGGTCACAACTCAAGACTCTGGCTATAAATTAAACCTAAAATTCCAGTTGTAACCGAAGTTGTTCCTATGGGAGGTTGGTTGTAATTTAAGGGTTCACTGTATATAGCTGGTAAAAGAAAAAACATCCATCACCATCTAAGAGAAAAGTGAAATATCTACCTCTTGAAGAAACTGGGCTTTAGCTTGCTTGATGTCATTTAATATCTTCTCATCCACAGTGAACAGGAGCTCCTCTGGAAGTGGTATATCCCGTACTTTTTCTGAACCCTGAAAACAGGGAAGACTTAAAAATATTTTCTCTGTGAAATGTTAGGAGGAAAGGAAACAGCTGTTCTACGTACCATCCATCTTCCTTCAGTCTCTATAATCCTCTCATCCACGTAATGGGCGATGTTCACCATGACCATGGCATCAAAAGGTGCATGCTAAAACAGCACACCAAGAGCTCAGATAGTTGTTAGACTAAAACCTTAGCAACATACAGGTAAAGGACAGAAAGGCACAGACAGAATCCTCAGATGCCTTGCTTCCTACAATAAAGATCCAGCAATCCTAGAAACTGTAATGTTATTTAAGATACAACGTTCACAGCTGGAGGCAGTCACTAGGGCCATTGGGTTCAGGGGTGGGTGAGTGTGTAAGGAAAAACAAATCACCAGAGAAACTAACTGTGTAAAGAAACACAAACAATGGGAGAAATGAAGTATGTTATTCTCTCTGGAATTCAAAGTAGATGTATGCATGTAATGCTGATCTGAAAAGCAGGTGGGGAGGGCAGATCATCTGAGGGCATTCAGGACCCTGAACTTCTTCAAGTGAAGATGGCCACCCTAAGGCAAGGAAAGCCCAAGAATGCAGATCCAACTTCTGAGAAGTTGCTGACCCTTTTCAATGTAATTCTAACAGTATCACAAGCAGCTAAGTTGGAGAGAAATTAATGTACAGTCAGAGAGAGGCGAGGCTCTCAAGAAAGTCAATGGAAATCAAAGATATCAGAGCTGTGGTTGGAACTGCATCTGAAGAAGACCAAGCCGCAAAACACAGTCTCAATGGCCTGACTTGTGTGCTTCCTTATGGGAGGAGAAGAACTGTACAGTAATTATTACCACCAAGTCCATTAAGTCTAGATGTGCATTAGACACTGCTGGGAGCTCCTGAGTTGGTGATCGTTCACATTTGTGGAGCCAAAAGCACAAGGGCCAGAACAGGAGTGTGCCAAGGACATGAAGCACCTGAGAAATGCCCTTAGGGCATAGAGTGCTAGAGGTGAACAAAGGGCTGAGAAGTGAGCTAGTTAAGCGAAGGGACATGGTATGACAAGTGTATAAATAAACGCAATGTGGTAGTTGAGCAGTCTCCCCATCCAGAGGAAGGGCTTCACCTGACCCCAGCTTTCTGTCTCTGTCTTAATTTCTTCATCATCTTATCATTTTTCCCCTCAGGAATTTAGAAAGCTCTCATGGTAGACACAAAAGACACCTAAGAGGGTAACCCATCCTTTCCCAAGAATGTTCTCATTTTAGAAGCTACAGATAAGCCAAGGTGGATGAAGTCAGCCATAGGCCCTTGCTATGTATCCCTCTTTACTACTGGATCAAATTAGCTACATAACTCACTACCATCTTATTGGCTGATTATAGTTCAGCCTATGCTATACCCACACTGTGACTTTACTGTATAAATTACCCGATAAATGTTCTTGGTGGCAACCCACTCAGGACCCCTCCTGAGCAGCCATTCCTTAATCTCCAATAAATCTTTCATATGCTTAACCTCCTCTATCCTGTGGAATTCATTTTTCAATTTCAGGGGACACAAACTCTGCACAGCTGAAGCTAGCAGGCTGGGAGTTACACTTCTTCTCTGGCAACACTACAAGCACCCAAAGCAGAGCTGACTGTAAGTGTCTCACAGGGTAGACTGTGAGGGAGGCTGTGCCAGACGCGAGCTGCTGCTGTGAGCAAGGAGCACTTGAGGAGGCCACAGGTCCCTGCCAGCCTGGGCGCTCCCAGAGAATCTCAGGTGTCACCATGGGTACTGCTCTACCTGAGACAGCAGCATCAGTGTCTCATTGTTCTTCTGGAACCAGGGAGAAGAGGAGGCTGAAGGATATTAGTCTCTCTGGCAGATAGGAGAGAGGCTGGAGCTGTCAACCACTTCCCAGGGGGTACTTCTCACAGAAAAGGTGAGCAGGAACTGGAATGACGACAGTCAAAGAGACCCAGACGATGGACTAGAGACACCAAGGCAACTAATTAGAGGTTCTGTGTCAACAGTGAACTCAAAGGGAGGATAAAGAAAATGATCTTCCAAACAACTCACCACAATTCCTTGTCATGCCACGAGCTGCTCTAACAGACACCTACCCTAGCATCTGCTTATCAACCAGGCCACATACTTCTGGAACAGCAGCATTTGCTGTCCTTCAAGCAATTGCCACATTCTGGGGATGTGATCCTGGGCCAGGCTAAGGTGAGCACCTGATTCTCAGGACAGACAGGTGAGTCACACAGACTAATCATAGCCAGATACAAGGGCTGTTTCAGGACTTTTGCTGGCACCACTGGAAAAAGGAAGCAGGCTATTTCCCTGGCGGTCAGTAGGCTAAGAGACCTCTGAAGACCCGAGACTGAAGGCAACATCATGTTAGGCTGTCTACGGAATGGGAGAGAGATTCTAATCAGAGCCTCTGGACACTGGAAGTCAGCTTTATTCATACGTAGGTACACATCTATGCCAACAAATACCTTCCTCAGCGAGTACCAGTTTGATTTAAATTTCCATCATTTAAAACTGAAAATGGATTTAAAAATAAGCCACTGAACCCTTTTTTTCTGATTTTTTTTCTTGATTTATAAATCTTCTGAATCTAAGACAAAGCTAGTAAAGACCAAGAGAAGAGACAGAATAAAATGGGGAAAAGTTCTTTTTATTTTTTCATAAAGATCTACACTGGTACATAACTGCTGGATATTTTAATACTCATTATCTAAACAGTGTCCCAAAGGTTATGTGTCATCTTAAGAAAATAGTTAGGTAATTACTAGGTGAATCTAAAAATATATTCATTTATATTTCCTTAGGCATAGAAATAATGTTGTATGATACCTTTTAAAATAGTTGAGGTACTATGCAAGCAGATAATGGTGGATTTTAATAAAGCTAAAGTTAGATGTAATTTTTTTAGCAGATATACATCAAGCTGTGGGTCCTACTACAAAAGAAAATAACTTGACCTATGCTCTACATCACTGAGAATTCATAAGTGGACTTCTCAATATATAATGCTTTTAAGCTAAAAAAAAAATATCTATTTATCTGTAGTACAGCATACCCTAAGTACTTGTGAACTACTGCCAACAAGTTTACCTAAAAGGAAAATAAAAAAGACTTTTTGATAGTTTACTTACCTGTGGTGAGTGAGCAGAATGGGGACCCTTCCATAGAGTAGGAGGCTCCAACAGAGCACATTCTGGGACCGGGCAGACTAGCTGGAACAGGACACTGCAGTGACTTTAGTTGCATATTCCCCTCTCTAGCAGGATTGGTGGGGAGTGCTGGGCCTGGGTGATGCAGTGGACTAAGACCCAGTAGGCTAGCCCAAACCAGGTCCCAGCACCTGGCGGTGTATACCCTAGCAGTGAAGCCGTCAGTAGGTTGACTGACTTGGAGGGGCAGGCCCAGCAGAGGCTGCCCAGGTCTGTGTCTCCCTAGTACACTGCAGTGGGCAGAAACACCTAGCCAACGGATTCAAACAAACTATAACTGACTAAGAAAGAAACTGGGCCTCCTATAGATGCTTGTATGGAAGGAACAAAAAGTATGGGAAGAGGGAGCAACACTTCAACTCAGCAGCCAGCAAAAGCAGCCAGAGCAAAAGAGGCGAAGAGCAAGGTACAATTAAAATTTCACACAAATGATAACTTATGCACATGATGCAGTCATGAAATAGGCTTTTATATAAAATTACATATGTGTACATTATATGAGTTGAACTCTGTTCACCTAGAAGGATATTTTGAATCCTAACCTTAGAATATGATTGCATTTGGAAATAGAGTTTTGATAGAAATAATCAAGCTAAAATGAGACTTCTAGGGTGGGCCCTAATTTAATGGGATTATTGGTTTTCTGAAAGGGTGAAATTTTGGCAAAGTAAAATACACAGAGGGAAGGTGAAGCGAATTTCTGCTAGAAGTCGCTTCAGGGAACCCCGTCTTCACTTAGCTAATCTGAGCAGATGCCTGATTAGTAACAAAGCTTACAGAAAGATCCATAAGAGGTTCGCAGTGGCTAAAGGAAAAGTGACCAGATGGTGAATTGTCAGTTAAGGATTCCAGCTGTGCAGTCAAAGGACTGAGGTCCACATTATAGGGACAGAGTTTGATTGACATTGTGAGGGCAGAGTCTGATCCATCTTCCACTGCTACCCTAGTGAAAAGACAGCAAGTGGTAAATGAGAACTTGAAAGCAACATTGTCCTTGGAGACTAGAATGTGGAAGAACCAATATGAAGCACACGAAATCAGCAGAAGTAACGTTCCTCTCTCCCTGCTCAGTTAAGGAATTGGTGATTCAGAAGACAGGAGTTGGGTGGCTGAGGCCAAGCTCTGTGAACCAGAGGATCTCGGTGGCACCCCATTGAGTCTGGAGCAGCAGAGGCTCAGAGGTGGAATGTGACAGTCCCTTCAACCCCAAGCCAGGGGGAAGCCCCAGTTCCCAGGGGTCACGCGTGTGCTCCTTCAAACAGCCCAGAGTGAAAAGGGAAGGAGCAACCTGTCCCACAAAATGTAAGAGCCTTCATCGTTGATCCAATCAAAATGATCTTTCTTGCAGAGGCTTGAGCTTATCCAACCACCTTCTGATTATACATTTTCTCTGAAAATGGATTTTTCTGAGAAGACAATACCGAGTCTCAGCTCTGAATAAATGATAGGCCACCTTATGAATCAGTCTCCTGGTCCACTCATGTATAGGTAAACTGTTACCCTACGTAAGAGCTCAGGCACCCAGGCTTTATCTGGCTGTATCATACAGGAAATAAATGAGTGGGGTTGTAAGTACCAGAAAGAAAGCTTGGTTAACTCTGGGTGGGAATCTAAATACTGGTGTATTTAGGTTCATGCACTTGTGGTGGGCTGACAAACTGTGGGAACAACATTGGAGGGGAGGAGACAAAGTTCTACCTGAATCTGTACATCGCCCTCAGAACTGTCTCGATTCAAATACAGTAAACAACACAGGAAGTAAAAGCCACTTCTACTGTTCTATGAATTTGGGGTCCCCAGGTAAGGCAAAACTCTATCATGGGTCACCAAATGCAACTCTTTGTTCAGTTGTTACCTCTGTCAACAGTGGATGGACAAAGCAGGCCAACCAGAAGTAAGATTTTTCCCCCAGGATAATAATCTCCCTGTTGGCCAAATTTCTATGTAGATTTATAAGAAATTCCCCTAAGGAGATAAAACTCAAATCTCCTGAGCCATGCTCATTGCTGGGAAATCAAAAGCCTGGCTTAGAGTTTCATTAAACACAATCATTTAATTAAGTTTAATTGATTCATCACTGTACCACAAAGAACGATCACTTTGCGGTGTAGGGTGTGATGTGCTTGGAACGCACATCCAGCAACCCTCATCCCCACAGCTTTTGACCCTGTTTAACTCCCACAGTCAGCTTGCTCTTGGTCTTGGATGCTACTGACTCCAGCTCTCTGTGTCTGGCTTTCCCAGTCCACCTTGTGGGTTACAGTCACACTGACCTGAAAAGGGGTCCAGCTCTTTCAATGCTAACTTTCTCCTGTATCTGTCAGAATCTTGCTTTTGGGAACTGCGAATTGAGAAGTCACTGAGCCTCTTGGAGGCTTCTCATAGTCTGGCCTAAACCAGGTGCAGTTAGATCCTGGCTCTGATCTCTTATCTTAGGGGGTTTCTCTGCCCTCCCCTGAGGACTGTAGGGCACCCACTACCACTCTTTTGCCCCAAATACAGCAGATGTTATTATGAGCCCCAGAGATCTTCTCAGAGGACTCGGAGGAAGAGCTCTTGTGAAAATGGTTGGGGGAACTGTCCAAATTAGACCCAGTCTGTAACCTTAACTACATAAACATTTATAAAGAAATTACTTCCTGGACCCTAGATCTGCAAAGCCTTCCGTTTGGTGTTAAGCCTGTGGGCTGTTTGTGGTTCTCAGGAGATGCTCTTCCCACTGTTTTGACATTTAGAAAGGGGAGTGATGCTTTGCTTGTGATAAATTGCTTGTACCTACACTCAGGCCTTCTATAACTCTGATCTGTGGCCAAAGTTTTGATGTAACCAGAAAGGAGTAAAGAAAGAAGCCCCTTAATGTTCCTGGATAATGGATTTTGAGGTTAAATTGCTTGTTGTCAATTTTCTGAGATTTGTCTAGGGAGGTAATGTAACCTCTGAGTTCATTAGCATCTTTTACCTTGACTTGGTTAAGTTATGGTTAATCACATGAAAGAGGGTGTTTAAGCTAGATACAGCAACCGTGGCAATAAGTGGGGTGGATGTTAGTTCTTGCTATTACGAACAAACCTATTTTTTAAAATCTGGAATGAGCTTTATTTTTTTATTTAGAGAAAAAAAGCAAAACAGAAAAAAGAATAGAAATAATACAGAATTTCAACAAAATTAAGAGTAAGAGATCACTAGTTGATAAATTACATATTATCTTAGAAGTTCAAATTACAAAATCAAAGCATAAAAAGTGAACAGACAGGGGCTGGGGATTTAGCTCAGCGGCATAAGCTCCTGCCTTGCAAGCAGGCGGTCGTGAGTTCGATCCCCTGTACCAATAAAAATGAAAAAGACAAAAACAAAAAGTGAACAAACAATTGAACAATGACAGCAAAAACTATTCTGTCTGATGAACTAACAAAAGCTTAGTAGTACGCTTATCTATCTTGCACACTTAAACATACATGCAGTTATAAATTTTCCTTTCAAGCACTTTTTTCCCTTTCATTATTACAATATCTATTATATATTTTGGATCTTATTGCTCTTTCAGTTTATTATTATTATTTATTTTTATACTAGAGAGACAATATGATATTTACAAATACGAGTCTGATTTGTTGCACTCACCTATAAAAGTCTCAAGATCATCCTTTTTTATAGCTGAGAAAAATCTATTACTTAGTGCGTATGTATTTAAATTTTTTTAATTGTTGAACATAATATAAATGCATCTTTTGGGGGGTGAGGACACTTAAAATCTGACTTAGTGGTTTTTGAGTATATATTGCTATGAACTATAGCCACCATGTTGTACGTGAGATCTCTTGACTTGATTGCTCCTATCTAAATGAAGTTGTATATCCTTTAGGTAACACCCCCCAACCCATGGCCCTCTCCCTGTCAGGCCCAGGTAACCACCATAAAGTGCTTTCTGCTTCTATGAGAAATGTTTTAGACTCCATCTGCAAGGGAGATTATATCTTTGCATGCCTAGTTTATTTCACTTAACACCATGTCCCGCAGGTTCATCCATGCTGATGCAAAAATAGTAGGGCTTCTTTTTAAAGGCTGACTAGTACTTCACTGTGTATAGAATCTGTTCATTCATTGGTGGGCACATAAATTGGCTCCATATCTAGACCATTGTCATTAGTACTTCAAAACACATGGGAATCCAGAAAGCTCCTTCATGTATTGATTCAATTTCCTTTGGATATATACCCAGTAGTAGGATCGCTGAGTCATATGGTACAATTATTTTTAATCTTTTATTTGCTTTTTGGAGACAGGATCTCCGTTTATAGTCCAGCCTGACTTCAATTTGTAGTGTAGGCTTGGTTCAGACTTTTGAATCTCTTGCCCCAGTCTTCTGAGTGGTTTGGATTACCAGCATTGACCACCATGCCTGGCTTTATTGATTGACTGATTGATTGATTGATTGATACTGGGGATCAAACTCAAGACCTTGAACTTCCCAGGGAGATGCTTGTGCCACTCAGCTAAATCCCCAGCCCTATTTTTATTTTTTGAGAAACCTCCATGCTGTTTTCCACAATGCTGCGACTAAATTATATTCTTTTGCACAGTTTACAAGGGATCCCTTTTCTCCACATCCTAGCTAACACTTGCCTGTTGGTAATAGTCATTCTAACAGGTAGGATGTGATATTTCATTGTGGTTTTCAACTTACATTTTCCTTATGATTTGTCCCATTGTTAATTTTTTTGTATGCCTGTTGGCCACTTGCATGTCTTTGTCTGATAAATGTCTATTTATGGCCTTTGTCCATTTTATAGTAATTAGGTTGTCTGT